CCCCAAGGGACTCGGTGCGGCTTACATGAGGCCAAGCCCGCAGTACATCAATAAAATGAAGGCAGTAACAAAATAATCAATAAAAACAGTAAAATAAACCTCAAAACAAAAATAAACAATAAACAATAACAATGAACAATAACATACAAGCATTTAAAAACCTATGGCCGGGCCAAATGTAATAATTTAAAACTTTAAAAATAATGCTGGGCATGAACAAGGTAGGGTATAACTAGGATAGGGTTGTCAAAGAAAGTTGAGGGCACGCAGGCGATCCTAAATCAATGTTAAAGTGCATTTGAGGACATATTGCTAAGAGTTTTCCTTATTCTGGGAAGGCACACTAGAACAACCACATTTTCAGGCTCCTCCTAAAGATTGCCGGCGTTGGGGCATGTCTGATGTCCTTGGGACGTGAGTTCCAGAGTCGGGGGGCCACCACCAAAAAGGCCCTCTCCCTTGTCCCCACCAATCGCACCTGCAAAGGAGGTGGGAGCACGAGCAAGGCCTCTCCAGATGATCGAATACACACACACACGTTTGAATGGAATTATGTTTAGAAAAATGTACCTGTTCCAACATAGGTACAAATTGAACTTAAGAACAAACCTACAGAACCTATCTTGTTACACCGGGGACTGTCTGTATCTCTGCTCATTCTTCAAACGCTTCATATATTGGGAAATCCTTCCAGGAAATAGTTTATGCAAAAACACTTGACTTGACTTACATTGGGAAATCTTTCCAGGAAATATTTTATGCAGAATTTATTTATTTATTTATTTCGGGCACTTCTCAACCCCCCCGGGGGGGGGGGGACGACTCAGAAATGCATCTTTCTTTCTTTTTCAAAAAAGTGTTGTTTTTTGGGGGGGGGAGGGTGTTGCACAAACCCCCCTTTTTTTTCAAAACAGAAAGACTAGGAAAAGTAGGCCCCTTCCACACAGCTGAAGAATTTCCCACATTTTCAACATTGAATTGGGATATATGGCAAATATTGTGGGATTTTCTGCCTTGATATCCTGGGATATAGGGCTGTGTGGAAGGGCCCCTAGAAAGAACCTCAAGGTCGCTGCTGTTTGAACCTGGAAGAAGTTCTCAATGCTCAACAAGAAAACGACTTAAAATATATTATTTCGACCCCCAAATCTTCATATTAAAGTCTCAGGTCATACTGTGTAACACATTAAAATTCCCCATCTTTCTTTACTATAATAGCGGCAATCATAAATTCAATCTATATTTACCTGTAAAAAAAACACAATGGAATATCATTATTCATTCGTACACTTTAAGCATTGTGCCCAACTATATTTCTGTATTTCTTAAGTAAAAGAAGGGGAAACTATTTTACCAACACAGCTGCCATATAAAACCTTTAGATAAAATCAAATATGGTAACAGCCAGAATAAAGTCCACCAGGGGAAAAAAGCTGGGGAAAGATTCCTATTCATAAACACGGCTGTAGAATTCCTTGCCTCTTTCCAAGTTTCAGCATGAAATTACACATCTCCCCTTTCCTTTCCGGTTTTAAAGAAACATCCCCAAACTTCTGCTTAGACTTATGTATACGCAGCTGTGGCTTTAGATCACCTTTGAAACATAACCCAAAAAACCTGGAGGAACCTTTAAAATAATTTTCAGGTTTTGGGGATTGTAATGTATTATTGTTTTCATGTTGATGTCTTTTATTTTATGTATGGCATCTTTGTGTGCTATTTTGTAAGATGGAAGATGGTGGCAGGGTATAAAGTTTATTATCATTATCATTATTATAATTATATATTAAAATTGCATAAAATTATAATATCTACAATTCAAAAAGTGTATTATTTTTTCCAAATCACAACCTTTTGTGAAACCTGAGCTGCAAAACCCTGCTTTAGATCGTTACCAATATAGAGAAGAAGAAGGAGAAAAAAACAAAACAAAACACTGGCACCTTCAATGTGAACGCTCTGACTCTCCAGGATATATCTATATGAGGCAAAGCATTTTGGAAGGATTTATTGGGAGTCAGCCAAGACCCCTGTGCCTCGTGGGTTTCCAAATATGGGATTCACAGAAACTGGACACATATCCTTTTATTGAGATCAGCCAACAACTCTTACTTATGTGCACATACACACTTTACATACCAATGTTTCTGTCTGCCTGCCTGCCTGCCTATGATGTATTTCTCAATTACTGAAGTGGTAATACTGGGAAAGAGAAATCTATTACACTCTAGTATAATTAATCTTAAATAACAGATCCTCGCCCCCGCACCTCAACACTCACTTTGCACTATATTCCATTTATGCCATTATTATTACAGATATTAAAATCAATTACAAGATGCAAGCTCCATAATTCTGGAAACCCCTTGTCACCCCCTCCCACTTTGCAAACCACAAATGCTAAGTATAGCAGATCAGAATTTGAAACATGCATTGAGAGTGGGAGAAGGAAAAGAAAAATCTAGTTTTACAATACTCCTCTGCTCCACTGATTAGATCCACTATGGAAAGAGGAGACTTTATTTGCATTACAGACCACTCAAGAGACTACACCAGTGGTTCTCAACCTGTGGGTCCCCAGGTGTTTTGGCCTACAACTCCCAGGAATCCCAGCCAGTTTACCAGCTGTTAGGATTTCTGGGAGTTGAAGGCCAAAACATCTGGGGGGACACAGGCTGAGATCCACTGGCCTACAGGAAAGGAGGAAGATAAATGTTAAGGTTGGCTCGGCCCTCCGGGTGTTTTGGACTTCAACTCCCACACAGCCTACTGGCTGTTAGAAATTGTGGGAGCTGAAGTTCAAAACATCTGGAGGGCTGAAGTTTGCCCATGCCTGGGCTAGGCAAGCTCAAACAGAGAAGCCAGGGCCCTGAGTCTGCAAGACCTGAGCAGGGCTGTTGAAGACGATGACTTGCAGAGCATCTACACTGTTGAATTATTGTAGTGTGACACCAGTTTAACTCCCATGGCTCAATGCAATGGCATTCTGGCAGGCCCGTAGCCAGGATTTCGTTTCGGGGGGGGGGGGGGGGGGGAAAAAAAAATTTTAGGGGGGGTTGGGGGGGGCTGAGTTTTGGGGGGGGGGCTGAGTCTGAGTGAGAGAGGGTCTACCCTAGCAAACCTTTTGTATCATTACCCCAATACCCCCATGCATATGGGATATATTGAGTATGGTGATCAGATCATGATATGAATAAACATAACAGTTTAAATAATGCACCAGTAAGGCCTTTTCGCGAACCACCATGAGAATTTCTGGGGGGGGGGGGCTGAAGCCCCTCAAGCCCCCCCCCCCGGCTACATGCCTGCATTCTGGGACTTGTAGTTTAGAGAGGTGTCAGCCCTGTTTGGCAGAGAAGGCTGAGGATCTTGTAAAACATTAACCCAGAGGATCCCATAGCACTGAGCCTTAGTAGCTAATTCAAGAGTTTAGGCACATTAATTCAATAGTGTTGCTGCACACTAGAAGGTCTCTCATTTGTGGGGTCACCTAAGTCGAAACTGTCTTGAAGGCACTTCATGTCAATCATGAGATTTAGGAATTTTGGGGGGTCAAATTTGAGGGGAAAAAAATCACAATTAAAACATCAAACCACATACAGAACCCCCCTCCCCTAATTTCAATCAGTCCCATCCCAAACTCTAGTCTGACAGATGTTTTGGACTTCAACTCCCAGAAGCTCTGGCTGATCAGGAATATTGAGAGCTGAGGTCCAAAAACACTCGGAACACCAGAGTTTGGGAAACACAGGCCCCTTCCACCCAGCTGAATAAAAACCCACATTTTCCGCCTTGATATTCTGGGGTTATAGGGCTGTGTGGAAGGCACCCCAGAAGATCAAGGCAGAAAATCCTACAATATCTGCTTTGAACTGGGTTATCTGAGTCCACAGTGCCATATATTCCAGTTCAAAGCAGATAACATGGGATTTTATTCAGCTGTGTGGAAGGGGCCCAGGCATGTGTGGTGTATTGGGGAAATAATGCAAGCAGATCCAAGTAAGGTGGCCTTTTACAACTGACAGATGGTCATTTTGTCAGTGATGATTGTTTTTAAGTACAGGCCAAGGTCTTCAGGCACTGCACCCAGTGTGCCATTTACCACTGGGACCACCTTGCCTGGCTTGTGCCTGAGCCTTTATTATTATTTTACTGACACAAAAACACAGTATGACACAACAAACGAGATATATATGCTGGATTTCATATCACAAAATCACAAGTTGAACACTTCCCAAGTGTTTAGGACTGTGTGATATTATTATTATTATTCTTATTGTTATTATTATTAGAAACACAAGATGAGTCCACAGCAGACAAGATCACTGTGTGGGCTGTTGTATTGGCTCGCATGTTGGACACTTCCCAAATGTCTAGGACTGTGTGATGTATAGGCGAATAATGCATGCAGATCCGAGTAGGGTGGCCTTCTGCAGCTGGCAGATGGTAATTTTGTCAGCGCTGGTTGTGATTAAGTGCAGGCCAAGGTCTTTAGGCACTGCACCCAGTGTGCCGATCACCACTGGGACCACCTTTACTGGCTTATTACTATTATTATTATTATTATTATTATTATTGCTGGCCTGTGTTTGAACACAGCACATGCAATGGCCAAGCAAGGCAGGGGTGGGGGCCAGTATTAGGAAGTCACCTCCATCCTGGAAAAAAAAAGGCAGTCTTTCCAGGCTTCCCTGGCAACCTGGGAGGCAGCGAGCTGCACTAGGGAGAGAATGCAGCCAGCCTGTCACCGCGTTGCCTGCCATGGCTGGAAGGATGCTCTGGGATCCTGGGAGATGTAGTTTGGCAGAGCCTTCGGTGCCGGTGCCTAACCAAACTCCACCTCCCATGATCGCCCAAGCTGCATCCATGCTGCTGCTGCTGCTGCTGCTACAGAGCGGCCAGGCAAAGGGATTCCCCGGCCGGGGAGACAAAGGAAGGGGCCTGCCAATGCCGGTGCCCCCCCCCCCCCCCCCGGCTCCCTCCCTGGCTGGCTGGCTCACCTGCGGAATCTCTCCTGGAGGCGCCGCATGGGTCAGCCGGGCCTGCCTTTCGGGGAGCCGGGGGTCGGCAGGGGGGGCTCCTGGCGGCTCCGGAGGCGGCGAGGGACGGGGTCCGGGCCCTCATTGGCTCGCCAGCCCCCAGCCCAGCACGCCCGCCAGGCCCCAGGCGCCCCCAGAAGAGGAGGAAGAGGGCGAGACAGAGAAGGAGGAGGACCCGCTCGCAATGGGGTTCCCGCTCTCGCTCTCTCTCTCTCTCTCGGCTGTGCTCCTGGCTCCTGGCTCCTGGCCCGCCCCCCAAATGGGTGTCACTCCAGGCTGGCCGTGCGAGGAGGAGGAGGATGAGAAGAAGACCCGCCTCCTGCGGAGGGAGGGAGGAAAGAGAGAGGAAGGGGAGGGAAAAAGAAAAAAAGAAAAAGAAAAGAGAAAGAAAGAAAAAAGAAAAAAGAAAAAAGAAAAAAAAGAAAAAGAAGAAAAAGAAGAAAAGGTAGCAAAGGGAAGAGAGGAAGGAAAGGGAGGGAAGAGGAAGGAAAGAGAAGGGGAGAAGAAAGAAAAACAGTAGAAGAGGGAGGAAAGAGAAGGGAGGAAAGGGAAAAGAGAAGAAGAAGTCAGTAAGGAAAGGGATTGAGGAAAGGAGAGAGGAAGGGGGAGGAGAGGAAGGCAAGGAAGGAAGAGAGAAAAGAAGAGGAGGGAAGGAAAGGGAGTTGAAGGAACAAGGAGGAGAAGGAGAGTGGGAAGGAAAGGGAGGAAAGGAAACAAGAGGGAGGAGAAAGGAAAGGGAAGGAGAAAGGGAAGAGAGGAAGGAAAGGGAGGGAAGAGGAAGGAAAGAGAAGGGGAGAAGAAAGAAAAACAGTAGAAGAGGGAGGAAAGAGAAGGGAGGAAAGGGAAAAGAGAAGAAGAAGTCAGTAAGGAAAGGGATTGAGGAAAGGAGAGAGGAAGGGGGAGGAGAGGAAGGCAGGAAGGAAGAGAGAAAAGAAGAGGAGGAAGGAAAGGGAGGAAGGAAGGAGGAAAGGAGGAAGGAAGGGAGGAAGAGAAGAGGAGGAAGGAAGAAGAGGGGAGGAGGGAAGGAAAAGAAGGTAGAAAAGGGAAGAGAGGAAGGAAGAGAGGGAAGGAAGAGAAGAAGGAAGAGAAGGGGAGAAGAAAGAAAAACAGGAAGGGAGGAAGGAAAGGGAGGAAGAAAGGAAAAGAAGAAGGAAGGAAAGAAAGAAAGGGATGAGGAAAGAAGAGAGAGAGAAGAAGAAAAGGGAGAGAGGAAGGAAGGAAGGAAGAGAGAAGGAAGGAAAAAGGGAGAAGGAAAAAGAGAAGAGGGAGGGAGGGAAGGAGAGTGAGAAGGAAGGAAAGGGAGGGAAAAGAAGAGGGAGGGAAGAAGACAGAGAGAAAGGAAGGAAAGAGAAAATGAGGGGAGGTAGAAGAGGGAAAAGGAGAGGTAGTGAAGGGAGGATAAGAAGGCAAGGAAGAAAAGAAAGAAAGGGAGGGAAGAAGGAAGGAAAAAGAAAAAAGGTAGGGATGGAGAGAGGGAAGGATTGAAGGAAGGAGAAAGGGAAAGGGGAAGGAAGGAGAGAGAGAAGAAAGAAACACACATACATACCCTTTGGATATTGGGCCTGTGGCGACCCCATGAATTTCACAGGGTGTTTTTGGGAAAGGAAGACTCTCCACTGTAGAATGAAAGCAGTTTAACATCATTTTGAACTGCCAGCATGCAATGCTGTTGAGAGCCATAGTTTGAGAGGCACTAGCACGGGCAGAAAAGGCTTAAAAGCCTTGTAAAACTATAACTCTCATGGTTCTATAGCAATGGCAGTTAATTTGGTGTCAAACTGCATTAATTCTACAGTGTAGATGCACCTATTGTTGATCTGAAAGAGCACCCATTTGGAAAACGTTATTTATCAGAAACGTGCATTAAAATACTAGTAAATGTTGAGATGGATCCAACGGTTCCTCTTTCTTTGATGGAAGGACGCTTTGGATTCAGCCCGTGATCTGTGGAAGCATTTGAATTCTTCGTTGAGTTACATGTTCTATATTGTCAAGAGTGGCCTTGTGTTGTCACTGTTGTGCTCTTCTGTGACATCTCCTTGTGACAGCTGAGAATAACAGTCTTGGTTGCTCAGGTTGGTTTCTTTTTCCTTATGGAGAAGTGCTCTGTTTAATAGGGCAAAGTGCACATCCTAGAAGAGCCTAGCCATGCTGGCAAGCCGACAAAAATGCCATCATATGATAAGAGAATGGAGGAAAGAAAACAGCTCTCTGCTTGGCTTTTCTTATAAATCAAACTTAAAAGCATACACATAACATTCGAAACATTCATTTTAGTTTGAAGGAAACAACTAAAAAAGGAGGGGAGATCAGCGTAGGAATTATATTCGAGTTTATTAAAAAAAGCAGAAAATGATGTGTTGGAATAACTACATAAAAGAGTTCTACCAAAGCATGGAGAGGGATTGAAACCAGCTTGCACCACATTTGTAAAGTCACAGCTCATCTTGTCCTATTATGTTATGTTGAATGAATTGAGCTGACAGCTTGATCCCACGGATTTGATGCCTCCGAAAGTGTATTGTGGCACTGGCAACTGAAGCATGCCAACTAAACGCTGATTCAAGCAGTGTGTGTGTGTGTTTATTGATGTCCTGAAACCTAGGTATCCATCAAAATTATAATGGGAATACATGAATCATGGCCGTGCAGGTACACTATTAGTAAGAGGCAGAATCAGCCATGCGAGCCTCTCCACAAAATAGCCTCTCTGTATCATCCTAAGTGCATCTACATTGTAGAGCATCTACATTGTAGAATTAATGCAGTTTGATGCCACTTTAACTTCCATGGCTCACTGCTGTGGAACCATGGCTCCGCTGGCCCATAATATAGGGACCGGCCCTTATTGGCATTGCTAGCCATTATTCCCTTGAGATAATGTCATGCCCTAGCCCACTTTCCGTTGTTAGAACTAAGCAGATCAAGCTTTGTTTTAATTGTGTACCTTTCTTGGCAGCAAAACAAATTGGATCCTGAACTAGCTTACAGCTACAATCCAAAAAAGTACAGCCTATATAATGGGCACACAAAAGTGCTGTGGCAGATTGTTGTAGTCCTTGGCTGTTGACGTGCCAAGCTTTGCTTTCCAGAGGACGAGGTTCAAGATGCTGAAGATAGAAAGTTCACCCACCAATTAAGTGAAAGAATGCTGGCTTAAATGGTTTATAGGTCACAACCCATAAATGCCAATAATCTTAACTCATTCCTCATTTCAATGGATAAGTCATTTCCTGCAGACTAATTCAACCAGAGAAGTCAGCGACAGCAGAACACTTGATGAACCAACCTGGACACAGCATATTATTTGAGAATGCATAAATGCTGGACCACTCTTAACAACCACCATATCGGACTACACAGAGAAGCCACTGAAATCGACAAGCATGTGGACAATTTCAACAGAAAGGAGGAAACCATGAAAACGAACAAAATATGGATACCAGTATTTAAAAACACTAAAATCAGGACAATAATCAATCAGAGCCAGTGAACACTTTCCAACAAAGGATCCCCCAGGCAGGAAGCAACCAGACTTTGAAGTTGCAAGGCCATTCAGTGCTAATCAAGGTGGCTAATTACAATATTAACACTTGCTTCAAGCAGACAAGAGTTCTTTCTTCCACCCTGGACATTCTTCCACAGATATATAATGATGATTGTTCCTGATGCTTGTTTTATTATTATTATGTTGCTTATGTTGTTTTTATATTGATTATTGCATTTTGAACTTGTTATGTTTTAACTGTCGACTGGGCTTGGCTCCATGTAAACTGCCTCAAAACCCTTTGGGGAGATGGAGGCGGGGTATAAAAATAAAGTTTATTATTATTATTATTATTATTATTATTATTATTATTATTATATAAACCTCACTTGTCTAGTTTCCAACAGACCTCACAACCTCTGAAGATGCCCACTATAGATGTGGGCGAAACGTCAGGAGAAAGTGCTTCTGGAACATGGCCATAGAGACCGGAAAACTCAAGGCAACCCATTTTATGTTGTTTAAACATATGTTCTAATATTTTTACCCCAGATTTTTAAATATTTAAATTACTGTACACTGAATAGCAAAGCTAACCTTTTTTAAAAACATAGAATGGGGTAGATCTTTTCATAACAACTTTGGGTAAGAGGATGGTGCTGTTCTAAACATACAAAGAAAATACCAATATCTATCTGTCTGTCAAAAGAAATCTTTCCCATATATTGTCAAAGGCTTTCATGACTGGAATCACTGGGTTGTTGTAGGTTTTTTGGGCTATATGGCCATGTTCTAGAAGCATTCTCTCTTGACGTTTCGCCTGCATCTATGGCAAGCATCCTCAGAGGTAGTGAGGTCTCACAACCTCTCAGGATGCTTGCCATAGGTGCAGGAGAAATGTCAGGAGAGAATGCTTCTAGAACATGGCCATATAGTCCAAAAAACCTACAACAACTCGATCTTTTCCATACTAAAAAAAGAAGAAGTAAGATTATGTACAGTAATCAGCATTTGCATGCCACCTTCTTCATTAAATCTATATGGCAGTAGAAGGGAACCTGTAATCTTCCATGTGAGGTTGAAATTCCTATCAGCATCAGCAAGCATAGTCAGTTGTTGGGGATAGTGGGAAATGTGATCAGTCAATATCTGGCAGGGCATGGGTTAGCCAGTACTAATATATGAGATTAATCCTCTTCCCCTCATGATAGTGAGTGGGAGGCAGTGGGAGGCAATTGGGCAAGTCAGCCAATTTCAGCTCTTGATATGAGAGCCAGTATGGTGTAGTGCAGTGGTTTTCAACCTGTGGGTCCTCGGGTGTTTTGGCCTATAACTCTCGGAAATCCCAGTTTACCAGCTTTTAGGATTTCTGGGAGTTGAAGGCCAAAACACCTGGGGAGCCAGAGGTTGAGAACCACTGGTGTAGTAGTTTTATCGTTGAATTTACCCTTCTCTGCCCAAAAAGGCTGGTATCTCAGCACACTACAAATTCCAGGATTCCATAGCATTGAGCCCTGGGAGTTGAAGTGATGTCATACTGCATTAATTCTCCAATACAGATGCACCTTAGGGTGTCAGGAGGCCAGGGCTTGAATCCTTGCTTGGCATTGGAAAACTACTGGGTCACTGTCTTGAATCCTGACATTGGGCAACTCACACTCTTTCGGTCTCAGAGGAAAACAATGGCAAGCTTTCCTTGACTATATCTTGCAAAAAAAAAAAAAAAAAAGCCCTGAAGGGCCATCAACACAACTATGTTGGCTGAGTGGTAGCAAATCCAG